GATTAAGACTATGCCGTTGACTTCTTACTCTGTATTTTTACCTGTTCAAACAAAGTTACCTTAATCATGTTATATTCAAACAGAATGCCTCCACTCTTCCTTTCTTTGCCACCCACACAGTTGTCTGATCCAAATACAGAGGAACTATCCTAGGTTCCAACTCTTCCTGATACCTGAGAGCAACTTCATTGACAAATCTTGTGATTTCCTGAGCTCCCTTTAATATATCTTCTCAACTTCTCCATGATTGCCCTTGCTTAAACGATTGCTTCTCACTTAGGGAGTGGGAGATGCCTGTCTTCTAGGCATTAACCATACCACGAGCCTGCCATTGCTCTCTCCCTCTCACCGTGTGTCCTCTGCTTCCTTCTGTTTCCTCCTACTACATTCCCACTCAAGCACTGCTGTCTTTGGAATGCCTGTCATGACTTACTCAAGTTGTCATTCCCTTCTCCGTAATTTCATATTTCCCCTTATTCTAGTGGAACACTTTTATCATTTTGCATAAAAAATACTTATTTCCTTCTCCCTCCAAAACTAGACTGTGAGCTCCCTAAAGGCATGATCTTTTTGTTTATTGTTATGATGCATCCCATATTTGTCAGCACCTGACTCAGTGCTTGGTACATGTTTTTGATAAATACAAGAGAGAATGCATAGCTTAAAATTTCCAAAGAGATTATACACTTCCTCATAGCTCTCTGCCACCTATGTTTTGCACTTATTTAGTTGGTGAACTGAAAGGGAGTGGGTCATTGCAGAGTGGAAAGAACACTGATTAACCTTGAGGAGAACTAGGCTGGTCCGGGTAATTAGGTATATGACCTTGGGCAAGAAATTGCTTCTCTAGGTTTCTGCTTTCTTATCTCTAAAATCAGAGAACAGGATTAGATCATAAAAAAAGATACTGCCAGCTCTAAAAATATTATAACCTGAAATGCTTTCTTCTAAAATTCTAAACAAGGTGATTCTTAGTTTTAGATCCTTGGTTAAGATCCCAGAATGCGTGCTTAGATTTTCTGTAAACCATGTGAAATTGCGTTCAAGGTTTTATTGTTGTTGTTACTTGCTGTACAGGAGCCTATGAATTGATAAATAATATCCAGTCTCTTCTATTCTTTAGTAATGGAACATTTAAAGATTTAATTGATCACATGATCACTAAACAAGTGTATTTTCCAGTCTTCTGTGCAGCTGGATGTGGCAAAGTGACAAGGTTTTGAGTAAGCAAGTAACTGAAGGAATATGAGCAAAAGTGATATGGGCATATTTTTTATAACCATGTACCTGACCTCCATTTCCTATTCCTCTCTTTTCTTGGAATGGAGCATAAATATGGTGATGTTGAACAGTTTTGTTTAAGAAATGCAGTACCTCAGAAATTAACAGACCGTTAAATCAGAAGGAACCTGGGTCCCTGAATGACCTTCTGTAGCTGAAGCTGTACCCCATCATCCCAGACTTTTCTGTAAAAGATAGTTAACCCTTCTATCTTGTTTTAGCCATGGTTATGTTAGTTTCTCATAAAGGCTTGAGCCAATATTGATCCCAGTACATTTGCACACCTGCATTTTTGGAAAGAAGGCCCATAGATTTCACTAAGTTTGCAAAAGGCTTTGTGACCCCATGTGACAGATTAAAGATGGCACATTCATTGACAGATCTCCCATTGAGAAGTGAGTTTAGGTTCCTTGCCCTTGAACCTGAATAGATTCTGTGACTGCTTTGACAAATTGAACACAGTGTAAATAAAGTTGTGTCAGTTTCCAGCTCAAAGGCAAAAGAGAATGGTAGCTTCCTCCTCCTGCCTCTTGGAAAACTGGGTTTTGGAACCCCACCACCGTGCTGTCAGTAAGCCCAAAAGTCCATAGAGGCATCTATGTGGAGAAGCTTCAAGGCGCTTCTCTTCTTCTTCTTTAAAACTCACAACAATGCCTTGAAGAATATATTAACGTCCTTATTCTACAGATGAGGGAAACTGAGCACAAGGCATTTCAGTCACTGACTTACCTAAGGCTACTATTAGGAAGTGGTAGATTTCAATCTTGAACCCTGCAACCTAACCCCAAGTCTTGCATATTTCACCGTTTTGCTATGCTGCTCAATAAGGTGCTACTATGTGTTAGAAAAAGTTGTAAAAAATTCAGTTAGATTTGTTATTTAACAGTCTCTTTGCCACTGGACTTTAAGTATGGTAAGCTAGTCTTCATATGTTTCATTTCTATTTTGTGGCTATACCTTGAAACTCACATCAAAATTTAAAATATTTAAAAATATTTTATTGTGAGCTACCCAAAAAGCACTGAGAAGTGCAATTTTGCAATTCTGCTAACAATTACCAAAGTCTTATTATTTTTCCCCCTTTCCTCCAAGTATATGTACTTTAAAGTATCTTGGTATTTGAATCATATTCCGCAGCACGCACCTCATGTTCGCTATGTCTTAGAGGTGCATGCCTAACATTCCCATCCATAAGTTACCACTGCCTTTTCTGTACATGAATCCAACTGTTCAATCTCTGCTCATGTGCCTTCTTGAGATTCTGTTGGAACATGCCCAAGTATTGCCTGAACATGACCCCTTTGTGTGGATTCATGCACAGTTATATGCACAGCCAATCTGCCAGTCCGGACCGACAGCCTCACACCAAAGCCTCCATTTCTCAGCAGGAATCCAGCAAACCAGATGTCAAGTGCATATTTCCTGAGTACTTTATGGGATCCACCGAGAGGCTCTCACAGTATGCTTCAGGCCTCAGTTTAGTGCAACTTGTCAAAATGAATTGTTTCATTTCTCTACCACACATGCCAGGTTGAGAGGAAATTTTTAAAAGAAAATACTGCATAAGGGTTTAGGCTTTCATATTCTTAATTAAAATCCCATGGACTTGTGGTTGGGGTAAGGTCCTGAGGCTGGGGCTGGGGCTGGGGAGTGCAGGAGACTTACTTCTTGAATGAGGTGGAAAGTAGGACAGTATCCTCTGTCTCAGCATATTCAACCACAAGATGAGAGAAGAATTCCCTCCATGAACTTGAGAACATCCCCAAAGGGGGCTGGGAAGACTCATGACATTAGGGCACAAGGCAGGTTTTCAAAAAGGGGTTCTTTCTCCCTAACCTGGAGAAATGCAAACTTTAGCAACTGGGCATCGGACATATTCTCATTTGCTTTCTGGATTTTTCTGACCTGGTGTTCCTCATTGAATCATACATGGCTATTTACTTATTTCATAAATGCACAGTGGAATTCTTCTCCATGAATACTTTGGCATCTACAAGTTAATCTTTCATGCAAAGGACACCTTCAGTACATATATAACTTGGTTTCTGCATCAGATCAAGTGGGTTAAGAACACTGGGTTTGCTACTCCTTAGTGAAGTCTTTGGGAAAGTCACAGGCTCAGTTTTCACATGTATAGAGTGAGTGGACAGTTTGCATGTCGTTCAGTATTATTGCCAGTTAACTGGAAGACTACGTGTGTCATGCTTAGCCAAGTCCTTCACAGAGTCAGTACTCCATAAATATTAGCTGTTATGTGTATAATACTATTGATATTGCAATTCTAGTAATTATTGTTGATTCTTACCCATTACAGCCCTTTCATCAACTATATTGCAAGATAGAGGTCTTCTGATGACGTGAAAGTTAACCACACATTCTGCTTTCTAAATTAATGGTACCATAGTTAGTGTAGGTTCCCAGTTCCCTCTCAATGGAGTTTCGTGCATTTTCCACCATCATTGACTTTATTTGTTGTCCTTAACTTTTTTAGTTCTCCATCTATCAACCACAGCCTGACTTCTGCACCCTGTTCCACTTTTGACACTGAGTGACAATTTCATCAAACCTGAACAGATGGTCCCTGACCTTCCATGATTTGACTTAGAATTATTCAGTTTATGACGAGTTTGTTGGATTGTAACTTCGTTGTATGTCAAGGAGTATCTGCATTTTTAAACCAACCTTGAGAAAACACACTATTTCAGTGGGTTCAGAGCGAGCAGCCACTGGCAGGATATTGACCAAGCTGTAGACTGAACATTTGCACTCAGATTATTCTTGGTGCCCACAAAGTCATTGCTTTGGTTTGCCCTGTTCAAGTCCCTGAGATCCTTACTGTTACTGTATCCTTGTCTCAAAACTCAGTTTATGTGTGTCTGGAACTTACTGGACAGTCTCCACCCAAGACACAACCCCCATTATCCTTCAGACTGATATCCTAGAAGTGTATGACATTTTAAAAGCCCACTTGACTGTAGACATCACTTACCCCCTCCTATACATATCCATATCCACTCCATCCAGCTTCCTTTGAAGCTTTTTCACAAACTACTTATCAACTCCAATCTACTCCCCCAGCCTCCCTTAATTATTACAATCATCATTGGTCTTTTGCTTCTTATTATTTTCCTTAAGTATGCATTATATTTTCCTTTGTATGAGATTTGCCTCTTTGAAGGTAGAGATCACCTCTGAGATTTCCCTGTAACCTCCACGTGTCAGCCCTGATGCACAATATCTGTTACTAGATAGATTGATTGAGTTACAGAATAAAGAAAGAACTTTCTATATTTGCATAGCTAAAAATCGTGGAGACTGTCAAAAAGACAGTATGTTAGAGAATGTACATTTCAACTAAAGGAATCATGACCATAAAGTATTAAGACTTTGGTTCAAATATTAGGTCTTTCACCTACTCATCTGTTAACTTTGGACTAGAAATTTAACTTTTTATTGTCAGTTTGCTCATTTTAAAAATAAAGATAATATATTTGCTTATTCTTTTCTTGAGGACTGAATTCAATAACGTATGTGAAAATGCTTTGGAAAGTATTACTATTACAGGGAATTTTATCTTTATAAGAAATAGTGTCAAGATGAATTTCTGGTCTACCTTTTTAGTATTACCACAATCCTTATATCATAACTAGATAATATTTAGTTTTGAAGAAATGATTCCACTACTGAGACCTGTGTACTGTTTCATTTCTCATTTGCAGGTGTATTATTGATTCAAAACTGTTAACTACTGTTCCACTGGGAAGATGATCATGACTGTCTTACTCGTATGGGCACATTCAGATCCCACATCGAAAGAGAAGTACTTATACAAGTTCCTGGCCTCAAAAACTGAAATGGGAAGAGGAAAGATTCTTATAAAAGAAAAAAAAAAGACAAGTAAGTACAATTCATTGGTTCTTCTCAGATCAAACTGCTGCTCTTATGCACTTGAGTTGAGCTTCTATCCCCTGTTCCCTGCGGGAGGTCTCTGGGAGGCAGCCGAGAACACGGACACTGGTGATTGGGGAGTCCCTCAATGATGTTGTAAACAAAAATGAAAGAGGCTGGTTTGACTTTGATTTTTTCCTTGAATCAGTTACTTTTTAAAAGCCAATTACTTCTAGTGAATATTTGTCTTTCCTGTTCAGCAAATTATTTATTTAAATAGTTCTTAAGAAACAGCTCTTCGGAATTCTGTTTAAAAGGAATGCTTTGAACATCTAAGGTACAACATTCCTTTATGAGTCATATGTTGCAATCCCTAATCAGATCTCTTTACACAGAGTCCTGTAGGCTTAGGCAGTTCTCCTAAGAAATGATGAACTGCTCTATTGGCAGCCGCTGCAGGGTGAGAAGCTCGGTGTGCCACTTAACTGGCTTAAACACACACACACACACACACACACACACACACACACACACACACTTGGGCAAAGCCTTTAGTTAATATTATTGCTCAAGTAAAAATTTTATTACACTCTGCAGAGTTCACAAAGAAGAAGCATTAGACTGGCAAGCAGAGCTGGTTGGATTTACCTTTGACGTAGTGAGCTCCTTGAAGCTACAACAATGCCATATACATCCTATCACAGTGTCTGTAGAAGGGACACAGTAGGTGCCTGCAAAATTAATGATTACATGGATTGAGTCCAGCCATGCATTTGATATTTCGATCTTGTCTATGGCCCTCTTGCCAGCCAAACCCTTTTTCATCCTGTTCTAGAACATCTCCACTGACAGGGAACTCAACTCTGGATATAGTAACCAGGGCGGAGGTGACTCAAGACGAAACTGCTAGGTTTTCATCTTCCCATTCTTCCTTTTGCCTCCAGGGTATTCAGTTGCTAAAGGGGAAAGGTGTGAACAACTGAATACGCAATTTTCCATGGTGTATTCAGTGGTTAGCACCTTTCCCCATCTTCTTAAACCAATGCTATCTAAAAACTTTCTTCTTAACACATCCCTTGCCCTATCAAAGCCCACTCCCAAGAAACGTTTTGACAAATATTTCATTCTGAGGTATAAGCAGACAATGGTGGCTCAGAAGACTCCTTCTTGGCGACATTCGTATTTTTATCAGAGCCCAAATCTTTGAGTAAAAAACCTCATGATTCACTATAAGAGAAATTTCAGGCTCCCATCAGTGGCTGGAAGGACATTCTTCTATCTCCCCTTGCCAGCTGCAAAGCCTTCTGGGAGCCTCATATTATCTCCCGTGGGCAGCTGTCTTGTGTCCCTGGGCAGAATCTCTCTTCAAGAAAGCATCAGCAAGCATCACAGGAGGCTGAAGCACGAGAATCACTTATCCGTATAAGAAATAGTGTCACGATGATTTGTTATGTCTTCAAGGCTAGCAAGCTCTCCCTTATTCCTTCTCCGATATCTTGCATTATCCTATTTTACTAATGAGAAAATATTCTCTAATTTAAGCACAATGGTATATTTTATTTTCCTAATGAACTGCTTTCTGTGATTTTGGACTATCCCATTGCTGAAATGTTGTATCTGATTTTTGAGGCTCTAATGATCCTAATAAATTATAAACATTTTGCATTAAATGAACTCTTTTGTGGACACTCTAATAAGTCCTGAAGAAAGTCAGGCTGTCTCCTGAGTTTGAGGGGACAGCCAGAACTTTTAATGGAAAGTGGTCCTTATTAGAACCAACCCCAGACCCAGGGCTGGCAAGCAGCAGAAGCTCTGAGCATATGCCCAGGTAATGAAGATTTGTAAACTAGGTCATGATGGTGCCCCACACATCATAAGACCCATCGCAGCCTGGGAAAATATTATGTTGATTTTTGTCCCCTCTGAAAGATCTGTAGAAAATGCTAACAGAGCAAGAAAAGGTTAGAATTCAAGGAAGAACATGCCTATCGCTCTTGTCGCCAGATTGGTCCTGGTAGGCATGACTTTTCCTTTGGCACCCGGTGGAGATCTTTTTCAATGGAGCTCTTGCATGAGACACGGAGATGGTCCTGCTTTTGTTTCCATGGAAAAAAATGCTGAACAATGTATTTTATGTACTGCTAGTTGCTCCCAATCATCGATACAAATACCCATACAGCAAAGTAGCAGTGGAAACAGTAAAATGAATGAGTGAGTTTGACTGCTTGGATATAAAGAACAGAGATTGTTTCAAAGGAGAAAAGACAGCCTGCAAATGATCAGGGCATGTATGTAGATGAGGGTAACAGCAAGGACGCAGGCGCAAATATGAATAGAGGACGTGGGCGATCCATCTGAGCAGAGGACACAGAGCCTCAGAGCCCCTTCTTACTTAAATATTTCAAGGGGAGGGAGGCGAGCAACATATTTCACTCCCTTGCATAGTGAGTGTCTGGGATCATTAGGACCCAAAGTAAAAAAAAAAGAAAATAATTTGACAAAATGTCCAGAGGCACAACATGATATAAAGCACGACATTTTTTCACATATGTGTAAGCTTGTTTCAAAATGGGCATTGCTTCTGAAAAGGAGTGCTTTAAAAAATGTAGATACTGAGTCAACTTTTAGCTCTCCGAGCTATTGAAACTGCAAGGGATAAGCAAGGAAAGCACTTTTTTAAAAAAAGAAAGATAATCAAAAGCATTTATGTGTGATGTTGAGAGCTATATGTGAGTTTGTGTGTGTGTACACAGATTTAGCATTCTGTGCATTTCTTGAGTTAACATTAAAACAGATTTGCCTTTTATGAATACACTTCAGGAGAACTGGAGAGGTGCAATATTAGACCTGATTTCTAGTTTCCATACCATTGCTACCTGGCTGTGTAATCCTGAGACGACTGATAACATCTCTCGGTGTCACTGATGAAATAAAGGAATTGGTCTTGATATCTTCTTGAGGTATGCTCAAGCCATAAAAGGTAGTGATTTTGTTAGAGTGTTCAAGAATATGCCAAGTCGGTCCTATGACAATGGAGCTACATATATGTATTGGTGCTCAGGGGGGACAGATGGAAGAGATAAGAAGAGGAGATAAAAATAACCCAGTAAGGAAAAGAAATGTTTGAATGTTTGGGGGCAGAAAAAGTGGATCATTGAACACAGAAGCAAATACTGCTGGTAGGTTTAATGATCTCTGCTATAGCTATTGATTCATTTCAAGCATCTCTATCAAAGGGCTGGGACATGATATGAGTATAAGCAGGGATTCTATGTCTGCCCTCAGAAGCCCAGTGACTCATTGTCTCCTGTGCAGTGGAGGTGGCTGTGGGCACTGCAGGCTTAGTCCCAGCTTTGGCTGATCCCACCCTGGTTGCCTGAATCACAGTGTGAGACCAACTCCCTTGCCCTGCTGGGCTAATCAGTACCTCTCAATCGTGGGTCCCAGTAGAGCCCCATAAGCTGGTGTGGCCCAAGTGATGGGCAAGGAGGGAAGGAGGTGGTCCCTAAGAACGAGAGAAAGTGACCAGGTAGGCAGAAGTAAAGTTACCATTCAAAGTAAGAAAGATTTTTTATTTTTTTAAAGCATAATAAACCCAATATTTGCAAATAGAAAGGCTGTCTTTTAATTTTGCCCTTTCCATGGTTTCCTCATTACTGTCTACAACCAAGGCTGAATCTTGAAGCTCCTGGCATGAGCAGCAGCCTGGAGGACAAGCCCATTGCTCATTACGTCTCAAAGCTCACTTTCTCAACCTTCTCAGAAAGTGATCATTTTAAAAGCCAGTTTTGTGGGGAGAGGAAGGGATTTCTAAATGGCAAAAACCTACACAAAGAGGAAGAACTGATGGATTCTGTCTTTGAGTTTGACCATGTGTCAAGGACAGGGGGAACTCAGAGTAGAATGTGAGCAGGGAAGCCTTCCGCTCCCTTTCAGCAAATGGGGAGATGCAGATGCAGAGATTAGGGGTGAGAAGTAGCGCCTAGATGGACCTGTCCTCATCTCTCCTCTCTGAGTTGCTTGTAAGTTGCCGAGTTTTGCATATGCACCCAAGGGACGAGGGGACATTTGTCTATGATCTTGACTAGGCAGGTGGGATAGAAGAATGTCACAGCAAAGTAGAAACCGACTGGCAGTTGAGGGCTGTGGGGTGGGCCATTTAGCAGGGACAGCGGAGGTACTAAATTCCTTTCATAATATGATATGTACTGAACCACAGTGTATTCAGTTGTAAGGAAGGGCCATATTTTATTCAAGAAATTCTTTATTCTTATGCATTAGGATATTTCCAGTTTCTTCACAAAATTACACTTTAAATCAAGAACACCAAGGCAATACTTGAAAACTTAATTTTCTGTCTTTGTTATCAGTGAAGTAGCGTTACTTCATTGGAGAGCAATGGCTCTGTGGCCCAGACAGATGGAACACAAAAACGAAACTAAACAACACAAAACAGACCTGCTGAATCAGAACCACGGTTGATGGGAACTGCGCTGTTGGTGAGAAGGTAAATTAGTACCATCTCTATGGAAAACAGTATGGAGATTTTTCAAATAACTAAAAATACAACTACTGCCCAATCTAGCAATCCCTCTAGTAGTTATCTACCCAAAGGAACAGAAATCATTACGTCAAAACGATACCTGCACTTGTATATTTATTGCAGCGCTATGCACAATAGCAGAGTCATGGATTCAATCTAAGTGTCCATCAATGGATAACTGGATAAAGAAAATGATATATATCCATATCTATATATACTATATATAGTATTCTGTGGGGTGTGTGTGTGTGTATATATATATTCTATGGTATATATATTTATATATACTTATATACCATGGAAAACTACTCAGCCATCAAAAAAGAATGAAAATTGTGTCTTTCGCACCAATATGGATAGAATTAGAGGCCATTATCTTATGTGAAATAACTCAGAAATAGTCAAAAACTGTTGTTCTCACCTACGAGTGGTAGTTAAATAGTGTGTACACCTAGACACAGAGAATGGAATGATAGATACTGGAGACTCAGAAAAGTACGTCAGTGGGAGGTGAGTGAGGGATCAAAAATTTTCTAATGAGGACTATGTGCATGATTCAGGTGATGGATACACTAAAAATCCAGACTCCACCACAACACAATATATTCATGCAACAAGACTGTACTTGTACCCCCTAAATCTATAAAAATAAAAGAAAATAAATGTAAAAAATTACAACAAATTAAAAGTCTCCATAGATAATTCTGGTGGACATCTGGCTTTAGGAACCTTTTACTAATGAGGCCATGGAGACATCGTTTTCTATTTATGAATTTAAGAATCATTTTGTTTCTAAGTCTCTTGTCCTTTGGTTATAATTCTAGTTAAAGTTCTGAACTCCTCTAAAGGACAAACGATAACAAAAAATGCAAGCTTGCTGATGTTTGCTTAGAAGCGTGAGTTTTCTCCTAGCCTTGTCACAAAGCACACAGTTGAGTTGATGTTCAAACATGGAGGATGACAGGCGAGTTTGTGAGCTTTATTCTACTGGGTTTATGGGGAGACGCTTATTATTTTCTCTGCGCAGTTGCATATCCAATTTAGCACCAAGAAGCATCTCACTGAGAATGGGCATCATTGCCCAAACTGGGTTCCATGGAACACTTGTGTACCGAGGGAGAATAAAATATTTGAGTGTCAAAATAAATCTGTGACCAGGCATGGTGGCTCATGCCTGTAATGACAGCACTTTGGGAGGCCAAGCGGGGAGAATCACTTGAGGCCAGGAATTGGAGACCAGCCTGGCCAACATCTCAAAACCCCATCTCTACTAAAAGTATAAAAATTAGCGGAATGTGGTGGTGTGCGCCTGTAGTCCCTGCTACTGGGGGCACTGAGGTGGGAGAATCGCTTGAACCCAGGAGGCAGAGGTTGTAGTGAGATGAGATCGCGCCACTGCACTCCAACCTGGATGACAGAATGAGACTTCGTCTCAAAAAATTAAATACATAAATTTGTAAAATGAAGTATGTATTCTCCCTTGAGGGTCATAATTGGTAATAGAAATGCTTCAGGTGATGAAAACTCCTATAGGGTCAAGAATTGTTTAGCTAATTTTTCTGACCAAATTTAGCCTTTTATTTTAACATTTTGTGGGACACTGATGTATTACGGAATACCATGTGAGAAATGTTAACCTGTGACATGCCACGGAAAAGTCTTCATAAATAGCTCTCTGGTTATGGCAGAAAGAAAATGGGCTTTACTTTAACTCCAGCTGTATAAACTGGTTCTAATACTTCATTCCAGTGACACAAAAAATAAACCACTTAATTTTCCCAAGCTTCAATTTCTTCACTTCTAAGATAGGGGCAATATGAGGACCAAGTCAGTGAGGTGTCTGCCATGGAGGAGATATTGCATAGGTGTTGGTCAAGCTTACATTGGGTTCTCTGTCCTTGGCATAGTTTTCATAAGAGCAGCTGAATGTGTCCCATGTAATCAAGTGCAAGGCCAACTCATTTGCATGCCTTGGCAGCAGGTCAGATGTGCTCTTGTTTAATGATCTGAGCTTACCCTCCTAATGTATGAGACCCCCATCCCTCTAAGCTCCTTCAAGGTAGAGACCATGCTTCACTCAACATTAAACCCCCAATAGAGAGCCACTGTTGTCTGCTTGAAGCTGTGCCACAGGATAGCGCTGATTGAAACATGGTGACATATAATAGGAATTGGTATTTGCTATCCCTTTTTGTTACAGTCTTATCTTGGCCATTCTAGTTAAATATCTGGAGGTTCTTCCCTCTTGGTAGAGGCCCTTCTCCAGACCCATAAGCAAGAGGGGATGAGGGCTGGCTGGTAGGGACTTCAAGTTAGACAAGACATTCTTGCAGGAGACAGAGGTCCACCCTTTCCACAACATGGCAGCATCTGCTCCCAACAATTTGCATCTACATGTACAGTTTTATGCTTGCAGAACTGAAATCAAATGTAGAACATCATATTTCCTGGCACTGTGGGAGAACTGCATTTGCAGTGAATAGTCCTAAAAACATGAGAAATGAGAATGCAGAGTGGGGACCTGCCACCCACTGACTGGCTCACATGGGTGGGTTCCCGCTGGACATTTCACTTTCTTTGTCTCTTTTATTCTTCACAGCAACTTGTGAAATAGGCGCTATTGTCTTCCTGTTCGATGACGCTGAGTATTTAAGTGAAGTGCCAAGCATACTGTATAGATGTGTCTTCAGTAAAATGAAACCAATATATTTTTGCCCCTAGAGGAAGAGATACGCTCAATTTGCCCAAGGTCATGGAGTAAAACCAAAATTTAAACCAGGTATTTTGATTCAAAGATCTATGCAGTTTCTGCTGTATTGTATGGTCTTCCAGAATAGACAGAGAAAGGCTTTTTTGCTGTGGTATAAAGCTATTCTTTCTCACCCTATCTTTTGTTTTAACCTTTTAAAACTAAAATACAACATAAATATAAAAATATGAAATAATCACGAATACATCTTAATGATTTATTATACAACTAACACTGATAAACCCCCACTCTGTTCCTGAATGAGAGCATTTCTCCGTTCCAGAAAACTTCCTCATTACATCTCCCAGGCCCACTGGGAGAAAGGGGAGCCACTCAATGAGTAACCATCTTTGCCTTTTTTCAGTTTGTATGTCCCTCCAATCACCGTAGTTTAGTTTTGCCTCCTTTAGGAGACTTATATTAATGGACGATATAAACTCATTGTTTGGTGTTTTACTTCTTTCCGTCAAACAATTTGCTTATGAGATTCATTCAAGGTATTATGTTCATTCATCCTATTTCATTACTGTATGAAGACCAATCATCCCAGTTTTCCCAGAAACAGACTGTTTATTCATCCGTTTACCTGCTGAAGGGCATCTTGATTGTTTCCATGTTTTAGCAATTATGACTAAAACTTGTATAGACATAATGTGCAGGTTTTTGTGTGGACATGTTTCCACGTCCTTTGATAATGACCAAGGAATTCAATTGCTGGATTGTATGGTAAGAGTATATTTAGTTTTGTAAGAAACTTCCAAAGTGACTTCCAAAGTGTCTTCCAAAGTGACTGAATCATGTGTTCCCACAAGCAACGAGTAAGAGTTCCTGTTGCACCACATCCTCAGCAGCATTTCATTCTGGAGTTTGGCTTTACAAATAGGTGTTTAATGATATTTCATTGTTGTTTTAGTTTGCATTTCCCTGATGATACAGAATGTGGAGCTTCTTTTCCTAGGCATATTTGTCATCTGTATATCTTCTTTGTTGAGGTGTCTCTTAAAATCTTTGATCTATTTTTAAATCAGGTTGTCTGTGTTCTTACTGTTGAGTTTTAAGTGTTCTTTGTGTATTTGGGGTAGAATCTTTTAGCAGATAGGCATTTTACAAATATTTTCTCCTATCTATGGCTTGTACTGTACTTTCCTGACACTGTTTTTCATAGAGCAAATGTTTTTAGTTTTAATGAAGTCCAGCTTATTAGTACCTTTATTGTTGTATCTAAAAAGTAATAAAGATATCCAAGGTCAGCTAGATTTTCTCCTATGTTATTTTTCAGAAGTTTTATAGTTTTGCATTTTTTACCTTTAGATTTATGATCAACTTTGATTAAGCTGTTGTGAAGATTGTAAAGTCTATGTCTAGATGTATTTTTTTTCTCATGTGCACAGCCAGTTGCTCCAGCACCATTTGTTGAAGTCTATATTTGCTCCATTGTACTGCCTTTGCTTCTTTGTCAAAGATCAGTTGACTCTAGTTATGTGAGTGTATTTCTGGGTTCCCTGTTACGTTACACTAATTTATTTGTCTACTATTTCATTAATATCACATTATCTTGATTACTGTGATCTTATAGTAAGTTTTGAAGTCAGGTAGTGTCAGTAATCTGATCTTGTGTATTGAGTTGCCTTTCTGAGTCTTTTACTTCTTCATATAAACATTAGAATACCTTTAGTTCTTCTTCGATATCTTTCATCAGAACTTTGTATTTTTCCTCATACAGATCTCATGCATACAGTGTTAGATTTATATGCAAGTATTTCATTTTTGAGGGGGTGCTAATGTAAATGGAATTGTGTTTTTTATTTCAAGTTGCACTTGTTCATTGCTAGAATATACAAAAGCAATTGACTTGATTACAAGCCTTGTATCTTTTAACTTTGCTGTAATCACTTATTAAAGATTTTTCATTTCATTTTCTACATAGATGACCATGCACTCTGCAAACAAAGATGATTTTATTTCTGCCTCTCCAATCTATATATCTTTTATTTCACTTTCTTGTCTTATCGCATTAGCTAGGACTTCTAGTGTGAGGTTGAAGAGCAGTGGTAAGACGGGAAATCCTTGTCTTGGTCCTGAGATTAGTGGAAAAGCTTTACATTTCTCACTGTTGAGTGTAAAGTTAGTTGTAGGTTTTTTTTTTTAAAGATGTTCTTCTATTAAATTTAAGGAAGTTCCCCTCCATCCTATTTTGCTGAGAGTGTTTACCATAAATGGGTGTTGGATTTTGTCATAAGCTTTTTCTGTATTTACTGAGATGATCATGTGATTTTTCTTCTTTACCCTGTTAATGTAATAGATTACATTAACTGATTTTTGAATATTGAACTGGACTTATGTACCTGGGATAAATCTCATTTGGTTGCAGGATATAATATTTTTAAATATTGTTGGATTCAATTTGCTAATATTTTGTTGAGGAGTTTTGCATCTACATAAGCAATATTGGTCGGTAGTTGTCTTTTCTCATAGTGTCTTTGGTTTTGGCAAGTAATGCTGGCCTCAAAGAATGAGTTAGCCAGTATTCCCTCTGCTTCTATCTTCTAGAAAAAATTGTAGACAATTTATATAAATTCTTCTTTAAGTGTTTGATAGAATTCCCCAGTGAACCCATTTGGGCCTGACACTTTCTGTTTTAGAAGGTTATTAACTTATTTTTTACAAAATATAGGCCTATTCATATTGTCTATTTTTTGTGTGAGTTTAGACATCTTGTGTGTTTCAAGAAATTCTTTTGTTTCACCTAGATTTTCACATTTGTGGGCATAGAGTTGTTAACAATACTCTTTTATTACCTTTATATGTCCATGGGCCATGTAGTAATATCTGCTCTTTAATTTCTGATATTAGTAATTTGTATTCTCTTACTTCATTTCTTAGCCTGGCTAAAGGTTTATCAATTTATTGCTCTTTTCAGAGAAACAGCTTTAGGTTTTATTAATTTTCTCTATTGACTTCCTGTTCTAAATTTCATCTATTTCTGGTCTAATTTTTATTATTTCTTTTTTTAAAATTTACTTTAAATTTAATTTACTTTTTTTTTTTCTAGTTTCTGAAGGTGAAAGCTTAGAAGAATGATTTTAGATTTTCTCATATATGCATTCAATGCTATAAATTTACCTCTAAGCACTGCATTCAGTATATCCCACATATTCCAATAAATTATATTTTCGTTTTCATCTAGTTCAAAATATTTTAAAATATCTCTTGATAGTCTCCATTGACTTCTGTGTTATTTAAAAGTATGTTATTAAATCTCCAAGTATTTTGGGATGTTTCAGCTCTCTTTCTGTTATTGATATTTAGATTAATTCTGTTTTGGTTTGAGAGCAAACATTGTTATGATTTCTATTTTTTTGAGCTGATTATGATTGTTTTATGGATCAGAATGTGGTCTATCTTTGTGACTATTTCATGTGAGTTTAAGAGTATGGGTTTTCTGCTGTTGTTGAATGAAATGGTCTATAAATATCAATTATATTCAGTTGATGGTGCTGGTAAGTTGAGCTGTGTTCTTTATGATCTTCTGGCTTTGAAATCTCCCCATTTCTGATACAGGGATGTTTAAGTCTTCAACTATGATTGTGGATTAATGTTTCTTCTTAAAGCTCAGTCTCATGTATTTGGATACTCTATTATTAGGCAAATACACATTAAGAATTGGTATGTCTTCTGGGAGTATTGACCCCTTTATCATTATATAATGCCCCTCTTTTTCCCTAACTAATTTCTTTGCCCTGAAACCTACTCAGTCTGAAATATAGCTGCTCCCATTTTCTTTCTTTATTCCACTAGTTTTATTCTCTATATATCTTTACATAAAGTGGGTTTCTTGTCAACAACATACAGAAAATAGGTTGAACCTTATTTTTTGATCCACTCTGACAATCTTTGTCTTTCAAATCATGTATTTAGAACACTGATGTTTAAGACGATTATTGATATAGTTGGATTAATATCTGTCATATTTGTTATTGTCTCTATTTGTTGCCCTAATTTTTGTTCCTATTTTTGTCTTCCATAGCTTTTCTGCCTATTGTGGTTTCATTTGAGCATTTTATATGATATCATTTTCTCTGCTGTTTTACCATATTTTATATATATATACATGTATGTGTGTGTATATGTGTGGGTGTATGTGTATATACATGTATATATAATTTACTTTTTTGGGGTTGTTGCCCTAGATTTTAGAACATACATTAACAACAAATCCAAGTCTACTTTCAAATAACAAAGTACCATTTCACAGGTAGAGCAAGTAATTATAATAACAAAATATTCCTAATTTCCTTCTTTGTGCCCTGTGTCATTGCTTTCCTTCATTTCCCTTACATATAGGCATATATGTATATATACTCATGCATCACATAATGACATTTCGGTTAATGACAGACTGCATGTATGATAGTGATCCCATAAAAATATAATACCATATTTTTTGCTGTACCTTTTCTACATTTGGATATATTTAGATACACACATACTTACCATTGTGTTACAGTTGTCTACAGTATTCAGTACCATGCTGTACAGGTCGGTAACCTAGGAGTAATAGGCAATATCATATAACCTATGTATATAGGAGGTTGTACCATCTAGATTTGCATAAGTACATTCTATGATATTTACTTAATGATGAAATCAACTAAGAGCACATTTCTCAAGATGTATCCCTGTCGTTGTGTGACACATAATGACACATATGACTGTATGTGTGTGTATATATACACATATTTACATACATATATGTATACACATGCATATATATACTAAATAATGTAAACATTATTGCTTCTATTTTGAAAATAATGTCTGTTAGATCAATTAATAATAAAAAAGTTTTTATTTTACCTTCACTTATTCATTCTCTGATGTTCTTTCTTTTTAAATTTACATCAGTTTCTTTTTTATATCATCTTCCTTTTCTTTGAAAAAATTTTTTAACATTTATTGCAAGGCAGGTCTACTAGCAAAAAATTTGCTCCGTATTTGTTTGTCTAAGAAAGTGTTTCTCCTTGATTTTA